CTCCTGATCATCTAAGAATTGTCCTGACACATTCAAAACTTGGATTTTTAAAAAAAATTGTTTAACTCAGTCCAGACCAGAACCAAAATGGCGTCCAGCTCTCATATTTCGATCAATATACAATTACCGAAGGCTCTGATATGAGAATCGAAAGGGTCAGGAAAATTTTTCGACAATTTAGAATACTCTGGTAATCGATAAACTCGCATTTGAACGGGATAAAGGCAAAAAAAGTGTTGTATGCGCTTCTTTGCTAAAACGATGGGAATACGAGGTCTCGGATTGAAAATTTAATTGACCTGGAAATCACAGATGGCGCAGGGGGTCCCTCCGCAGTCAATTAGGGCCCCAGAAGGCATGAATCCAGAGGATTTCTGGAGTTTTACTTCGATTTCTTTATAATTATTGTACGAAAACGACAGGTGGAGTACGCCATTTGGTACAGTACCCAATATAATTCGATATAGCTGTCGATATAAAAACGAACGTCGGCAACGTAGGCATTTAGAAAGATCTTTATCGACGTTGATCAAGTTCCTCGACGTGTTTCACTTCACCTTAAGTTACTCTGCTAGTTCCGTTAATTCCTGGATTAATTTCATTTCCCCGGCGGTGGAAGTGTGCCTGATAGTCCAACCATAAGTGCTCATATATCCTATGGATCATCTGTTCAGTGGACATACTGCAGCCGGCGTCCAGGTCCATCCTCGGATCCTGAGGGGAGCGCAGCCAGCATGGACCAGCTCCCGCCAATCAGGGACGTCTATTTTACCCAGATCCCTAAAACACGCAATAAAAAATATTTTATATATTAAAAGTACTAAAAATTACTTACCTCGATTTTGTGACCAATCGGGCCAAGCGTGGCAACATTACGCCCTGATGATGATCATAGATTCGGCCACTTGTTGACAAGGCGAGCTGAATTTCAATGCCACTTCCCTGTCATCGATCTGTGGCAAACTTCAGGCCCTCAGGAAACAAGAGGCCATCTGAGAGCCACTTCAAATCACGATTATACCACCTGGAACAGAAAACATATTTACCATCCCGACGATGGAGGAATCGAGATGTCAGCTTTACTTTTCGGCTTCCTTGACATTCTCCCACCAGCTGGGAGACTCCACCTGAAACTCATAAATCGTTCTAATTAATTCCCTAGTTAAGGGAGAACGAACGATATTATTTACTCTACCTTAAATAATAATTTCTTCCGTCGAGACATCGGGGCAATCCTTCCGATCCCTCCGATGTGGGGTTCTAAGGGTTCGATGGGTCTTCCTTCGGGCCCATTGGTCTCGGGAGACTCCATCGATACTCCTGGAACTCTGAAAATAAACCAACCATTAATACGTAATAATATTATTTTATTACAAAATAAATATGCGATGCAGACTAATTTGCCATTGTTGGATGACGCATAGATTTAGACATAAATATCCTAATCATCCTTTTAATTATTAAGATAATAACCCTCGGATTAATTAATAAGATAACTACCCTCGGAACCTTCTCAGATTGTTTACTCAAATGCTTCATCGTCCTGTGTACGAATCAGTTCCCACGGGACGAAGTGGTTTCCTTCAAATAGTCCTTAGACTATTTCCTTCGACCCCATGATTCATGCAGGCCCTTTTCCTCCCTTTTTGAAATCCACTCGAACTAGTCAATTCCTATTGGTCCTCGAGTTTCTCCCACCTTTTTAACAGAATATTGTAGAGTCTCGAACAAGACTTTAAGAAAAGTACGAGTCAGAATAAGATTAGCAAAGAATCGGAGGGCATCGAAGCAAAACTTAGTTGGACATAGCCTAAGTCTACAGTGAACGGGATTTTTAATAAAGAAGGTTTAGCTTTTACCCTAAACGGTCTTCACCTACGACGAATATCCAACACCATACATGAACGACACCAAGAAACTCCTCCACGTCTGGGGGATCAAATTGTCCAGGATGGTTGAGGACACGTGGTCCATCCTCCCTCGATCCTCTGAAGAGTCCTGAAAATAAATAATTCATTAATAAATCTTAAGTGACGAGGTGTCACCTGGAACTTTCAAAATACATTAAAAAATTACCTGGATTTATGGCTTCTCCTCCAGGGGTCTTCCCGGGCCCATGCCGATGTCAGGAAGCCAGCTGGGGGGTCCTCAGGATCCTCTGCGGCACTTGAAAATTACAAACTAATTAATAAAAATCCATGCGAGGTGATGGCTCGGTCAGCCGGACCACCTCGCCACTTCCCGCACCCGGAACGCGACTCCAGGGCCATTTCGGGGCCTGAGCCTAAGCGCACACGATAGGGGAGGATGGTTGCTTTAATTGGAGCTATCCTGCAAGCCTCTATCAAAGAATTCAGAAGTCTCCATAGAAGCCCAGAAGGATACGGACGTTCGATGCTCGATAAATAGTACGTTAGCCAACAGATGGTGGCGCTGTAGTCATCTCTCCATCTCTTTTAATCTTATGGCGATATATAGCGAATTGTATTCTTTCTTTATCTTACCCACAATACTTGCCTTTCTATATGCGTCTCTCTTCCTCCCGAATGTGAGATATCGTTGGCTAACACATGCGATCTCTCTTTTACCCCCACTTCTGGTTTGTTAGCCAACTTTTAGAGCATCAAGCGCTAACATAGAATCTGGGCTTCTATGGGATTTATGAATTCTTTGCCTCTATGCACTCGCGAACGCGAATTATTAGTTATTAAAACGCGGCGGAGGGCCAAGCGGTTCCGCCGTCGTCGGGCCGCTGCCATGTTCAGAGGGTCGACACTGCCATCTATTGGGGTGTAATGTTTTATGCACTACCGCCATCTTCAGTTGGAGTAAACCTTCTTCGCGAACTAAGTTATTTGGCGGGCTATTCAAATTCACTTATTAAACGAAGGGGTATTTTCGGGATTTAAAAAGTACTTGCAATGATTAAAACAGGCGTTGCTTAAACTGACACACAAATGTAAGAAAACAGTATATTAAACATAAAATAAGTAACAAAAGTGTCAGTGGCGCAACGCCTGTTTTAAATCACTGTAAGGACTGAAATAATTACACTAAACATTAGTTAAAAAGTAACATATTTATTAAGATAAAAATANGGGTGTTTCACTTCACCTTAAGACCGCGGTGCAGCGGCCTCACCCCGTACCTTCGGTCCTGAGGAGCTTTGGAACATAGAGAAGACTCCATGATCCGCCTCGCTCTACTCCCCCTCCCCCCCCCCCGCCGACGCCCGGAGGTAGAGAAGGTCAGGGACCACTCTAACGAGATTTGCAAGAAAACAAAATCTGATCCAGGGACACTGCTCTCCATCCGCTGGATACTTTTCATGGTCCTGACCTAATTTCCCTAATTTGGCCTTGGTCTACTAACCCGATTTTCAAACACGCGTGCATTTGCTCGACCGTACGCTCGGCTAGATGTCCACAAACATTCCGCGCATTCTAAACTAAACTAAACTAAACTAAAACACTCTGGTAATCGATAAACTCGCATTTGAACGGGATAAAGACAAAAAAAGTGTTGTATGCGCTTCTATACTAATACGATGGGAATACGAGGTCTCGGAGTGAAGATTGAATTGACCTGGATATCACAGATGGCGCAGGGGGTACCTCTGCAGTCAATTAGGACTCCAGAAAGCATGAATCCAGTGGATTTCTTGATATTTATGGTACGAAAACGATAGGTGGAGTATACCATTTGGTACAATACTCAATATAATTCGACCCAGCTGTCGATATAAAAACCAACGTCGGCAACGTAGGCATTTAGAAAAATTTTCATTACCGACGTAGATCAAGTTCCTCGACGTGTTTCACTTCACCTTAAAACTAACAAATAGAGTCAGAGCAATTATATGACAATTATGAATGCTCTGGTAATCGATAAACTTACATTTGAACGGGATAAAGACAAAAAAAAGTGTTGTATACGCTTCTATGCCAAAACGATGGTAATACGAGGTCTCGGAGTGAAAATTTAATTGACCTGGATATCACAGATGGCGCAGGGTGTCCCTCTGCAGTCAATTAGGACCCCAGAAAGCATGAATCCAGAGGATTTCTGGAATTTTACTTCGATTTCTTTATAATTATTGCACAAAAACAACAGATGGAGTGTGCCATTTGGTACAATACCCAATATAATTCGACACAGCTGTCAATATAAAAACGAACGTCGGCAACGTAGGTATTTAGAAAAATCTTCTTAATCAATCTTGACCAAGTTCCTCGACGTGATTCACTTCACCTTAANTCAATATAAAAACGAACGTCGGCAACGTAGGTATTTAGAAAAATCTTCTTAATCAACCTTGACCAAGTTCCTCGACGTGTTTCACTTCACCTTAACTTCATCACATCAGTCCCACGTTGAAACATGTACCGAGAGAATTCAATGAAAAATAGAGTTCGCTGTTTCACAACACCACACCTCATATCGAGGAGTAAAATTTCGAATTCGTTTTGTTCAGAAGCAGCCACGATGGAGGAAATCCGAAAAATTGAGGTCTACAGCTATAGAGGTAACTCAATTGCGGAAACGGTACTGATGTCTTCCTGTGGGAAGACCGTTCTCTTCGATGCAAGCAAGAGAGGCATTCTTCATACCTGTAGTTTTCCTTTTGTGGAACACCTAGTAATTTCGAGGGTGACATGTAACGTGCAATTATGCCGGAAAACTACACCAAGAACCTTGTTAAGCGGTATCTCATCGATTATAGATCCCTTTCGTTACATTATGTTGGCGAAAAAGTACAGAGAACATGTTAAGACCGATAAGTATTATTCCGAACTCAGTCTATAACCGACTGCTAAGGACGACGTAGCTCACCAATTATAATTTTTTCTAGTATAAGCTATAGGCTGCGAAGCCGATCGATTTGGAGAGAGTTCGACTAGGAATCTTTTAGGAGTGTCTTCTAGGAGTTTCGGAGCCAACTGGTACGAATGGTTTGTTTTTGCCTACTGAATATCCGAGAAATTTGCTGAAATCAATGGAACATTTCTGTACTTATTCAAGTGTATTTTCGTAAAGAGTATTTGAACTCAACATACCTTTGAATATCTAGAATCCGTACCCACTGAACACCGAATATAGCAGTTACGTAATACGTGTTACGTATTACATCATCCTCATTGGAGTGTCTTCTAGGAGTTTCGGAGCCAAGTGGTACGAATGGTTTGTTTTTGCCTACTGAATATCCGAGAAATTTGCTGAAATCAATGGAACATTTCTGTACTTATTCAAGTGTACTTTTGTAATTAGTATTTGAACTCAACATACCTTTAAATATCTAGAATCCGTACCCACTGAACGCCAAACATAACAGTTACGTAATACGTATTGCGTATTACATCATCCTCATTGGAGTGTTTTCTAGGAGTTTCGGATCCAAGTGGTACGAATGGTTTGTTTTTGCCTCCTGAATATACGAGAAATTTGTTGAAATCAATGGAACATTTCTGTACTTATTCAAGTGTATTTTCGTAAAGAGTATTTCAACTCAACATACCTTTGAATATCTAGAATCCGTACCCACTGAACACCAAACATAACAGTTACGTAATACGTATTGCGTATTACATCATCGTCATTGGAGTGTCTTCTAGGAGTTTCGGAGCCAAGTGGTACGAATGGTTTGTTTTTGCCTCCTGAATACCCGAGAAATTTGCTGAAAACAATGGAACATTTCTGTACTTATTCAAGTGTATTTTCGTAATTAGTATTTGAACTCAACATACCTTTGAATATCTAGGATCCGTACCCACTGAACACCTAACATAACAGTTACGTAATACGTGTTACGTATTACATCATCGTCATTGGAGTGTCTTCTAGGAGTTTCGGAGCCAAGTGGTACGAATGGTTTGCTTTTGCCTCCTGAATACCAGAGAAATCTGTTGAAATCAATGGAACATTTCTGTACTTATTCAAGTGTATTTTCGTAATTAGTATTTCAACTCAACATACCTTTGAATATCTAGAATCCGTACCCACTGAACACCGAACATAATAGTTACGTAATATGTATTACGTATTACATCATCCTCATCGTCAAATGTCACAAGATTAATAAATGTCATATTTTGTTTACTACTCATATGAAAAAATGGGACTTTAATTCATACGCGCATATACATTATCCGTCATTGTTTGGTAGTCGAATGAAATCATAATCCCACTGAACACCAAACCTAACAGTTACGTAACTTGAAACTAAGAAATAACGTTACATTTGTTAGAATGTAATAACCTAACTGGTACGTAACATAGAGCTAACTAGTTACATGACATTTGTTACAATGCAGGAACTTAACGGTTATGTAATATGGAGCTAACAGGTTACATAACATTTGTTACGATCGTATCTATATAAATGTAGCGTAACTTTGTTACTCTCATTTTACATTATGTTACCGTCCTGATATTACTGTGTATATGCAGTACATATTTGTAACAAAACGGAACTACATTGGTGCTAATTGTCATTTATTTTATTACATCATCCTCATCGCCATTGTCAGAATTCATCATCCAATGTCATAAGATTAATAAATGTCATATTTTGTTTACTACTCGTATGAAAAAATGGGACTTTAATTCATACGCGCATATACATTATCCGTCACTGTTTGATAGTCGAATCAAATCCTAATTGTCTTTAATCCTTTGAGCGTTGTCGACGCATGTGTGCGTCCGACGTTTGGCCCAATATCGCGCGCACGGTCTAAGGAAATTCGCCCGTATGTTGAAAGTGCTTAGCGCTTAAAGGATTAACACTAAACCTACCGACGATTTATATCCCCATTCCGAATACCAAATTTTAATCGGTCAATTTGACCCGCCGGTGGTAGGTTTAGTTAAGTAAAATCAGATAGTTTATCATTACATAATTTCATTGAAAGCCTGATTTGTCATTTAATATCTAACTATTGTCAAGTACCAAAAA